TTTAAAAGAGGAATTTTTTCCCGAATTTAAAAGAGGAATTTTTTCCCTAAATTTAAAAGAGGAATTTTTTTCCTGATTTTAAAAGAGGAATTTTTTCTGAATTTAAAAGAGGAATTTTTTTTCCTGAATTTAAAAGAGGAATTTTTTCCCGAATTTAAAAGAGGAATTTTTTCCCTAAATTTAAAAGAGGAATTTTTTTCCTGATTTTAAAAGAGGAATTTTTTCTGAATTTAAAAGAGGAATTTTTTTTCCTGAATTTAAAAGAGGAATTTTTTCCCGAATTTAAAAGAGGAATTTTTTCCCTAAATTTAAAAGAGGAATTTTTTTCCTGATTTTAAAAGAGGAATTTTTTCTGAATTTAAAAGAGGAATTTTTTTTTCCTGAATTTAAAAGAGGAATTTTTTCCCGAATTTAAAAAGGGAATTTTTTCCCCCTAAATTTAAAAGAAGAATTTTTTTCCCCTAAATTTAAAAGAGGAATTTTTTTCCCCTTCCATAACCCAGGGCCTGGCTGACAACGGGTACCTGTTCCTGAGCCGCTCCGTGTCCCTCCCCTTCTCCATCCCGGACGTTGGTTCCCGCTCCCGGCTCCGGAGCCTGGAGGCCGCCATGGAGACGCGCGAGGACCTCCTGTACCGCATCATCGCCGCCAACGTCGAGCGGCGCCGCGCCAAGTGCCGGGGGGTTGAACCCGACCCCGCGGCGGATCCCGGCCTTCCCGGCGTCCGGGCGGCCCATCCCGGCCTTCCCGGCCTTCCCGACGCCGAGGCCGCCGTGCGCTGCATCCACGAGGCGTTCCGCTGCCTGCACGACGCCTCGGACGCGCTGGCCCGCTACATCCCGGCCAACGGCGCCCACGTCCGCCGCATCGTCAACACCATCCCCATCACCCTGCGCCTGCTCCTGCACCGCGCCGGCATCACCGGGATCAACGGGATCTCCGGGATCTCCGGGAAGAGCGGGATGAGCGGGATGGGCGGGATCCATGACACGATGCCGTCGCCGCGCGCGGCGGCCGCCTGGGTGGTGCTGGCGGACCGGTGGCCGTGCCGGCTCAGCTGGGCCCTGCAGTGCCTGGAGGACGCTCCGGATCCCGCTCCGGATCCCACGGTGGATCCCGGGGCGGATCCAGCCCCGGATCCCGGCTCCAGGAAGCTTTGGAGCGTGTTCCAGGCGCACGTGGCGGAGCTGAGCGCGCTGCGGCAGCCGCTGCACAACGTGCTCAGCCTGGACGGGGACCCCGAGCAATTCCGGACTTTCCTGGACTCGGATTTTCCCTTCACGGCCCGGGAGGCCCGGGAATTCCTGGGAGTCACCGTCAACCTGGATCACTCCATCCGGCACAAGATGGGGCTCCTGCGGGCCCTGGAGCGGCTGCAGAGAGCGGCCAAAGCCCCCCCCGTGTCCAGGGGGGTCCAGTGCCCCCCAAAATAGGGAATTCCCGGCCCCTGGAATGTTCTGGGAGCTGCTCTGGGGAGGGGGAGGGGGTTCCTGTGCCCTGGAATGTTTTGGGAGCTGTTTTGGGAATGGGGGGG